GGGGGGGCGGCTGCGGCCCCTGCCACGCTGAGCGCGCCGGGGACTGGGTAGGAACCACGCGGCCTTGTCCTGCGGGTCCCGGGCTCGGCGTGCTGAGGACCGGGTGCTGAGGACTGTGGGGTCGGGGCGTGCCTGCTCGGGCCTTGTGCATCGGAGCCGCGCTTTCCCTCAGCGAGGGCGAAGGCGCCGCACGCACTACCGAGTCTAGTCTGTTCCCTTGTCTTCCACTCACTCTTGGGGCGCCCTTGTGGGACTCTAGGCCTGTGGTCTGCGTCTGTCTTCTTTCCTCCCTTGGCCTAGATGTGGATCGCCTTCCCTGGGCTTTGGGTTTCCGAGTGAATGCTGTCAGTGGTGATAAACTGAATTCTAAAGTTTGTTTTACGTTTTTCTGCAGCAGTGAGCAGTAGACCCAGTTTTAAATGTCCAGCATTTAGTCAGTATAAATCAGTAAGATCAGTATAAAACATTTGGGGTTAACCTTTAGATTTTGAATGGGTCTCTGTTTAAGTGAAGGAAACCTTGTAAAGCACTTAGCATATTCATAGACAGTTGTCTATGAAGTAAGTGTGTGCACTGGGGACAGTAGCTTATCCAGAGACTAACATTCTTGCACTCAGCAGAGTAGGACGGGAAGGGGATAGCAATAAGTGAGTAAGATGGGTTAGGTGTCAGCGCTATGGAGAGCAGCACTGCCGCAGTTCGTGTGGAGAAAGCCTTTGGTATTTGGGCTTCAACCTTGTATATATGTGGGAAGAGTGTTTCTAACAGAGTAACAAGTGAAATGGAACCAGCTTGACAGGTTTGAGGAAGAAAGGACACCGTGCTTTACCGTGAGATCAGAGAGTTAGGCAAGGGCCCCATTAAATGGGATCTTAGAGGATTAATGTGAAAATTTGGAGTCTCTTTCATTTCTCTTCCTTCCCTTTCTCTTTAAAAAATAAAAAATAAAATAAATTTTGAGATAAAATCTCACTATGTGCCTTAGGCTAGCTGGATTCTGCCTTGGCCTCCCAAAGTGTTGGTTTTTCAACATGTGTATTCCCCCATTAGGAATTTGAGTTTGGATTCTTACTCTAAGTGCCATGAGAATACAGTTTTACTGAGTGAAGAACGGATTGGTGGGGTTAACATTGGAAACAGGATGCCGTTTAAGGAACTTTAGCCTCAGCACACAAAATGATGTTGGTTCAGTAATGTCCACTGCTTTTCTCTGTCATGAATTTAATAACTGGTATTCCTGGTTCTTCAGGCTTTCAGATATGCTTGCATTAGAGAGTGATTTCTTCAATTCTTCCCCAAGAAAAACTGTTCGGTTTGGTGGAACTGTGACAGAAGTCTTATTGAAATACAAAAAGGTATGAGGAGATACTCTATGGGTTTTGACTTGGGTTAGTCAGGATACAGTAGATGTTACACTGAAGAGCAGATTACCAAGACCTTGGGCTCCTCCTGAGGTTCCCCCCCAAACAACCACAAACATAGTAAACATAGTAAATGAACTTTATCGACTATGTGTGTGCGTTTATTTAGGTTTCTCAGTGGTGGGGATTGTATCTGGGACCTTGTCCATACTTGGAAAACACTTCGAGTTGAGCTCCTTTAATAGCCTAAAAATAAATTTTACTCTGGGCTTGGTAAGTAGTTAGAGGCAGAGGCAAGTGGATATCTGTGAATTTGAGACCAGCCACGAAGGGATTGTGATCCATAGGTTGAGACCACTGGTCTAAAAAGATGAGAGAACGGAGGGAGGGAAATATTTTAGATACCATAATGAAATAGAATATTTAGTGATACCTATGATATTGTAAGTTTAAAAGTAGTCAAAACAAGATTGTTGAGGTTTTATGCCTTAAAGTGCTGTATATAGTAACTTTGAAAACTTTAGCAAGTGCTAAAATTAAAAATTAGAACAATTTTGTTCACTTATTTTTTAAAATAATTTATTTGTATTTTTTATACATTGGTGTTTTGCCTGCATTTATGTCTGTGTGAGGGTGTTGGATCCCCTGGAACAGGAGCAAACTGTAGACAGTTGTGAGCTGCCATGTAGATGCTGGGACTTGAACCCTGGTGCTAGGAATTGAACCTTGATCCTCTGGAAGAGCAGCCAGTGATTAACTGCTGAGCCACCTCTCCAGCTCCGACTGATTGATTAATTAATTAATTAATTAACTGGGGTTTTATTATTATTATTATTATTATGTTTTTGTCTTTTGTTTTTTCGAGATAGGGTTTCTTTGTATTGTTTTGGAGCCTGTCCTGGAACTAGCTCTGTAGACCAGGTTGTCCTCGAACTCATAGAGATCCGACTGCCTCTGCCTCCTGAGTTCTGGGATTAAAGGAGTGTGCCACCAATGCCCAGCTTTTGTTTTGTTTTGAGACAGGGTTTCTCTATGTAGCCTTGGCTTTTTCAAACTCACTCAGTAGACCAGTCTGATCTCAAACTCACAGAGATCCTCCTGCCTCTGCCTCCTGAGTTCTGGGATTAAAGGAGTGTGCCACCAATGCCCAGCTTTTGTTTTGTTTTGAGACAGGGTTTCTCTATGTAGCCTTGGCTTTTTCAAACTCACTCAGTAGACCAGTCTGATCTCAAACTCACAGAGATCCTCCTGCCTCTGCCTCCCAAGTGCTAGGATTAAAAGTGTGCACTACCACCACCTGACACTTATGAGAGGGTCTTGCTGTGTAGCCCTGGCTGATATGTAACTCCAGTCTTCTTGCTTCAAGCATGGAATTATATAATCCTATTAAATAATTTTTTATCTCTTTGAGACAGGTTCTTACTGTATAGCTGTGGCTGGCCCAGAACTGCTTTGTACACTAAGCTAGCCTTGAACTTACAGAGAGCCACCTGCGTTCTTACTGTGCACCCCCATGCCTGGCTCTTAAGGTAACTCTTAAGGAGTTACCTGAGCTTTACTTTAGAAGAATAAATGAGATCTTTGGTTTTGTGTTGGCCAAATGGTTTCCCTAGATCTTATCACTAAAGACAAAACATAAATGGTTGAGTCTTATTCCCATTTATACTATGAATAGATGCTGCCTCAATTCTTGCTGACACGTCATCCCAATGTTGTTATCTCATACTTAGAGAATTCTCATTTGTGTCTGCTGTAGTATTCAAGTGTTCACACTCTGATGTAGTTGAATACGAGTGACCGTTAACTCTTCCCTTGTCTTCTTAGACTTCTGATTCAACAAGTTCCTTGTTGTTAGTTATTTTTCTTTGCAGTATTAAGGATTGAACCTAGGATAAGCCTTCTACCACTGAGCTATAGTTGCAGCCTTTGTGTTTCTTACTTTTTATATTTATCATGGGGTTGCCCAGATGGGTGGCCTTGGATTTGCTTTCTGAATAGTTGGGATTATGGGCATATAAAATGACCATGATTGCCTTTTTTCCCTTCATTTCTTTTTTTTTTTTTTTTTTTTTTTTTTTTTTTTTCTTTTTCTGTTTTTCTAATACAGGGTTTCTTTGAGTAGCCCTAGCTGTCCTGGAACTCCCTCTGTAGAACAGGCTGGAATTGAACTCAAAGAGATCTGCCTGCCTCTGCCTCCCAAGTGCTGGGATTAAAGGTGTGTGCCACCACCCGTCCCCAAATTGCCTAAATAAGAATTCTTAAAAGTTGTATAGTCCTTGCCAGGTGGTGGTGGCACACGCCTTTGATCCCAGCACTCTGGAGGCAGAGACAGGCGGATCTCTGTGAGTTCAAGGCCAGCCTGGTCTCCAGAGGGAGTTCCAGGACAGCCTCCAAAGCCACAGAGAAACTCTGTCAAAAAGTTGTATAGTCCTAACTTTATTATTGTGAGTGATGAGTAGAAGTTCCACAGGTCCTTTTGCAATTCCATGAGATATCAAGACATAATAAAAATTCTGTTGATATTTAAAGGAAACCATAGTAATTGCACTTTAATTTCTTCTCTTTAGGGTGAGACAAATGACTTAGAGTTGTTGAAGAACCAACTCTCAGACCCTGACATAAAGGTAACTTTAAAAATTGTCTTTATTTCATTTATCACTTTTAATTGTATATTTTTGCATGTGTGCACACCTGTGCATGCTACAGCAAGTGTGAAGGCCAGGGGACAATTTGTGGGAGTTAGCTCTGTCTTTCTACCATGTAGATCTCTAGGATTGACCCCAGGTTGCCATACTTGTACCAAGGGTCCTGGTCTCTTCTCTCAAGCTTGCTTTCTGTGATTCCATCTTACTTAACTCAGTGTTTCTCAGCCAGAAGCAGTTTCCCCTCTGGCAGACATTTAACAATGGCTGGCAACACTTGGTTGTCAGAAATGGGGGAACGGATACTTCCGGCATCTAGTGGTCGGATAACTGGGCTTCCACTGCCCTCTACATACCCTTGGTGACTTAAGGGGGCGGGCTAGAGCGATAGCTAGTGGTTGAGAGCGCTTGATTTTCTTTCAGAGGACTCAGATTCTGTCCCCAGCACCCACATGGCAGCTGACAACCATCTGTAGCTATTTCAGGGGATATGGTGCCCTCTTCTGGACTCTGTAGTCTCTCTTGCATACATGTGGTACATATACATCCATGCAGACAAAGCACTCATAACCATAAAATAAAAATAAATCTTAAAAAAAGAGAGAATGAGGGCAGAACCAAGAAGACTCAATGAGTTGAAATCCAACCTGAAATAAGGACTTATTAGCTGTGATTGTTCCTCTTCATGGTCTGCACACCCCCATTCCTCCTGTCTTATTTACATTTAAAGTCAATTTATTACTGCTCAAATGACTTTGACAAAAGTTAACAGTGATCATGTTTTTACCCCCAGTCATTTTTTGTCTTGTTCTTTCTTGAGAGACCGTGTTTCTCTACATAGCCCTAGTTGTTCTGGAACTCACTATATAGACCAGGCTGGCCTCAAATGATGAGTTTCTTTTGTCTCAGCAAACTAAATGCTGGGATTAAAGGTGTGTGCCACCACTCCTGGCCTTCCAGTAATGTCTCACATGATCATCTCAGTGGCATTTGACAGCATACCATTCAGCAATCGACACTGTTGGTCATCCACTTAAAATTTTCATTTCTTTCTGTGTTCTCATTACTTTATTTTGTTCACTTTATTGGTAGGTTCTTTGTTTGTTTGGGTTTTTGATTTGTTTTTTGTTTTTTTTGTTGTTTTTTTGAGGTTGCTTGTTTGCATGACAAACTCTATAGTCCTGGCTGTCCTGGATTTTGCTCTG